TTTTAACCCTTGTTCACAAGGTAAAAATATTTCCGCTTTGTCTAGCAAGGTCTAATTTAATTTGTGGTCAATTTTGACTAATTATTTTGGAAGTTGATAAATATTATGATTTACTTGCAATTAGAATTTATCTTGAAATCTCTAATTTTAGCAAATTTTATGAGTTATAATTTACACACACAAAATCTATTAAACTATTTTAAATAACACCCGCATATTACTTCCATGATACATTCTCTAGTTTGAGGAGCAAAACATGTCTGCCAGCAGAGCATCTAGCTCTTCTAAAAACCAATTGAAAAGAAAAGAAGTGATCTCCAAGGTAATCAAACCGACCACTTTAGATACTTACACCACCGACCTAGGTTGTGTAAAATGCACTTCTCTCTGCCTTTAGTACATTATTGTATAGTCAGTTGTCATCATAATAAAAAATTCACTCTTAATCATTCTATGGCGTTTCAATAGCTTTTTCCATTATGTTTGTGTAAAAGACTTGGATATTAATGGTTTATACAATCTATATGTTTCAAGTTTTATTTTTTTACTAGTAAATTGCACAACATGGCCTATTATTTCACGTTTTTTTCACTTTAGTGACCTCACTTGTAAAAAAACATGTCTCTTAAATAACCCAAAGTATACAAAAGTTTCAATTTAATGACCTAAATTTTAAAATGTTAATGTTCTGTTAAAAGATGCTGGGAGTATTCTCATGTGAGGGTCATGCAAGAGTATGATTTTATTAATCACCTCTGATATGTCATTAATTTACACCCAAATATCCGTATGTTATATAGGGTTTTTGTGTTTTAACCCAAAGTTTTACCCCCATTTATTTTAAAACCCACCCACTTTCATAAACATACATACACCTAAAGTATGCAGTATGACTTATTTCTGAACTCAATCTATAGCATATCTTCAAACTTTATATTGTACTTTCCAAAAAATCCAAAATAACTATTTCCTCTCTTCTTCTAAACAGCAATCATGCCTCCCCCTCGCATTAATGGTGACGATGTAAGATATTTATTTTCATGCTCTGCTCCTCTCACTCCCCAAACCCCAATTTAGTATACTCATCTTCTTCAAAATCTCACTTTCCTTCATTAATTTCTCATCTCCCTTAAAAATCCTTTTACTCCATTAATATTTCTCCTCATAAAAAACATTAATTTGGTTTTAATGTGATTTTTATTTTCAATCATTAAATATTTCTTTTCGTAATTCTAGATCCAATAAAGATCTATCACATGCCAACGAAGAGATACATGTTAGCGGTAGAGAGCTAGACTCCTATGAATGGTGTTATACTTTGCTGATAGGAAGCTATGTTTTCAAATATAGTGCTATACTTTCCTCAGCTAAAAATTAATAGTTGTTAAACTTTCACATTTTTATGTTAATTAGTCAAATGGATACTAAAGCTTCCTTTGTTTTTCCATCAATTTTCTTGACGGCATACTACTCACTATTAATTTCCTACATGTAGTCCCAAAATCAACAAAGAGGTATATCATAGTGATAAAAAGATACACTTTATTCATAAAGAGCTACACCTCTCGATAATGTGTTATACTTTGGTCGTAAAAAGCTATGCTTTCGTATAAAGTGATATATATTGCTCAGCTTTGGTCAATTTTACTGATTGACTTCACCTAGAATTTTGGGATCGGCTCTCTGAGATCAGTGTTTTGTGAAACAAAGGAAGAGAGAAAAAAAGAGAAGCGATGGGTTAATTTGGGGAAGGACGGTTTTGGAATTTGAGAATTTTTCTAAAACTCAATATAAAGTTTGAGGGAATATCACAAGTTGGGTTTATAAATAAGTAACATGGGGTACTTGGATGTATGGGTATATATGGAGGTGGGTAGTAAAACTTTGGGTTAAAAGACAAGACCAATAAAGATCTAATGAAGTTTTGATCTCTATGATGCTCTTGATTTCAGATAACACTAAAAAAGATTTAGTGGGCAGAAACAGTAACCTAGATGCCATCAGCAAAATAGAATTAAAGAAAGACCCAAATTCAAACTTAGATCCATCTTGTTAGCTTTTTTTTTAAATCTAGGGAAAAAACCTAATTAACTGCAAACACATCATCAAGCGGGACTTTTCCGCTCCTAGGAGCTCTTAAGACAACAAAGAGGAAAAACCCTAGCTCCAGCTCTAAAACCGACCATCAAAATCGAACTTGGATCGAATTCACTCAAATACATCTAACTGTTAGTTAACATGTGAGGCCTTCAGCTTTTGTACAAAGGAAAAGGGTTTTTTTAGATTATTTCTGGAAAAAAGAAGAAGGCTAGGATTGATAAAACAATAAAATAAAGAACATTAAAAGATAACTTAGGTTAGATAGGTTTCACAGAAAGACATAAAACCTAGAAGATGGCTTCACGCCCTGGCCAATCACATGCACACCATAGCAATTCACATGCTAAAAACCTCGACTTTACTGATAAATTTTCTCAGTCTCCAGATACGATGATAAGTTCACTCGTATACAAAGGGTTTAAATTCCTACCTCTACTAAAATACTAAGGGGGGGTTTATTGGTTGGGACATTTTGGGGGATGGGGATTCTATTTCAAAGTATTATTCATTAGGACAATGGAACAAGGATAATACCTTTTTGTGTTATTGGTTTTTTGGAACACTAGTGAGACAATTACACCACTTGGGATAAAATTACCCCACTCATATACAAAAATTTTGTCCCAATAGTAAAAATTTACATCATCCTCCATATTGGAACAATGTTGTTCCACTTTGAAGACAATTCGAATAATTTTAAAATATTTTTGTATTACTTAACTAATACATGCTAATTATATTATAAATATATGACATGATATAAAATATAACATATATTAATATTTTAATAACATACAATTTAATAACATATATTAAACATATATTAATATTTTAATAATAAATATATTGATATTATATTATATTAATTATTATATATAGTATTATATAGTATAGCATGCTAATATAATATAATATAATAATTAATAATAGTAATTTGTAAGTATAGTATAATATATTATATTTTAATATAAAGTAAAATAATATTTATATTATAATAATATACTAAATAATATACTAAATCAATTGAATAAGTTAATTTAGAAGTAATTAATAGATAAAATTATTTTTTAATAAGGTGCCACATCATCAATTATCCCACATGAATTGTCAAATCAAAGGCTCAAATTATCCTATTATCCCACTTTATCCTATTTTACCTCACTCAAAATATCCCAAAGGGGTAAAATTGTTCCATTGGAACAATTTTCTCACTTGGCCCCAATTTGTCTCAACCAATAACCCCCCCTAAATAGAAACTTCTAACCCTACTAAAATTTAAAATCTAAATAATTCTATCCTAGAATTGAAATTTAAATCAAATTTCTAGAATTTAACTTAAGCTAAACTTTAATATTTAAATCTAAACGTCCTAATTTCCTAACACATTTATCTATCTAAATTGGTATTTCCATCGAATGAGTACCCTTAACCAAATTCGGTTTTGATCTTCAAATTTTCCTTACATCACTTATACTTTGATATCCTGCGTCGGATAATTTTTAAGCTATCTTAAAATTTTCTTACTCCACTAGCTTTTAGTTATATAGGACGGTTAATGACCAAAATTACCAATACATTTGATCTCATATGAAACGAACAGAGGAGAACCTCCTCCATTTCAAATTCTGTTTCTGAGGGAGAAATTAGAGCATAACAAGCAAAATAAAAGCGCAACATTCAATTTAATGGGATACTCTCCACAAATATTCATAAGTAATCGGTTATAATGTTTTCTTATTTTTTTTTAAAGTTTGAGTCAATATATCTGAAAAGATGTAAAGTGGCTAACTTAAAAGCCAATAAATTTTAAGTTGACCACAACTAACATAGATTCCAAAATCATTGATAATGATCTATTAGAAATTGGGTCACTCATAATTGTTTAATTAAATTTCTTAACAACACCAATATTTTTCTTACATTACCAAAAATTCTCGACTAGTTTGCTTCACAGTTGTTGAAGAATCATGATGTCTTGTCCTGGTTCCATCTAGACTTTGAAACAAATAGCATCTAAACATTGGATCCACTCCCGCATGCTAACAAGTAGAGATGCAAACACTTTGGATATATCTGACCCAATCTGTATCCATATCTAAATCGGATGTGGGTTTGGATACGAAAATCCTAATCTGATTGGATACCTATACTCAATATTGAACTGGATATGGATAAGGATTTGTTTAAAAAAAGAATTGAATATGGATATGGATATCCAATGGTAAATAGTGTCCTCATGAAGATAAAATACAGGAATCTTCCTATGTGCAGTACATGTCTCATGACTATCAGACACTAATAAATGTCATATAGAGAATGCTCTATCACAGCTAATGCTATGCAACCCAAAGGTGTAACAAAGATAATACAGGAAATGAAGAGAATAGAAGACAAATATGATAAAAATTTGCAAAAGAAACTAAAAGATTATAGTACCGTGTCAAAATAGGAAACATGTCACTAGAACACTTCTGTGAAAGTGAACTCATGATAGGGGACATCTCATCTAAAGAGACAGTGACTGTTATATTTTTCATGTTACAAAAATATTATCTGACAAATACACGTGATGTGTGCATTACATAGTAAACTTGTGCGTAAACAAATATTTTTAACACCTTAATAATCAATAATAGTAATATGAACACAGTTTTAGAAAAATTATTAAGAAAGTGATATAATGTACCTTATCAAGTAGTGGATGGTAGTTAGGATGTTTTTAGATTTTTCCAATTTTGTCTTTCTAACTAATTTCATTGTACAATAAATTGTTGAGGACATATGTTGCATTTTTTGAAATTTTGATACACATAGGGGTAGAACAAAAAGTGCAGCTTTTCCTAAATAATTGTAATGGATATGCTCCGAGCAATGAATTTGGAAGATAGGTAAACACTTACTTGAGTTGATAAGTGGACCATAAGCTTCAAGAAGCGAGGAACAAAGGACCAAGATAATATAGATGCAGCAGTTATGAACGTCGACAAGACCAACAACCTGAATGAGCAATATTTATACAAAATCATTCGAAACCAAGTTTAGTCAATAAAAAATTGCCAACAAGTTATGTACGAGCATCATCCACATAAATATCAAACTCGGTTAATTTCAAGAGAGATGCACATAAATGATGCCAGACATGAAACAGTAAGGCAATAATGGTAACAAATGAAAACATTAAAGTCAGTGAGGAGAAACACCAATTCTAGGAGCTGATTCGTTGTATATAGTTACTAGTATGTAAACTAATACTCAAGCAGTGACACTTACAACTTTCCCATGGACATAATTCCTCGTAAAACACCACTGCTGCCACCCAAAACTGGAAGTAGAGCAAATAGTAAACCCACTGCGCAATCCTGAAGAGTAACCATATTTAGATACCATTATTAGATGATGTATGTTTGCAAAACAAGCCTAAATATCATGGTTTTACATATCAGCCGATAATCCGATATTATCGCCGAGTTATCGGATTTGAGAGCTTTCTGCTAGGATAAGTAGGATTTTTAATCGGTTATCATTTTTATGGGTTTATCGGCAAGTTATCGGTCGATAAGAGAGGCTAAAAATATCAGCTTTATAGGCGAGTTATAGTTTTTATGCAAGTTTCGCTTTCTACAATTGGTCAGTAATTCTAAACATGATTATTTATATTTTCGTATGTTTATATTTCATTAAACATGGTTAGATTATATTTTTTGGTAATTATATTATATATATACATCATCCGGTATATCACTCCAATAAATACTACTTATCCCCGATATATCCCCGATTTCCGCTATCTGTTAAGGATTTTGACCATCCGATAAATCCCCGATAACCGATATTTAAAACCTTGCTAAATATGTACATTAAATAAAACTTAAAAATGCGATAGGGTTCTGACAATGCATGTGAAAATGTTATCTTAAACATGTCAAATTCTGCAGCATATTCCATTGTTATTTACAAATCAAATTCAATGCATTACATGCCTCAAATTAAAAAAATCACAATCAACAAAATTTCTAATTAAATAACTAAATTTTGAAAGAAAAAAACCGTGTGGGTATTAATGAATGATCAATATTTATTGAAATAAAAAAGACAGTATGTCTCCTTGCATAAGTTGATTTTCAGATTAGATTATCATTCTTGAGTGGGAACAAGGTCATCATTCTTAATCTAAGCATCAGTGCTTCTTGAATCTTTCGGTTAGCCATGATGGCCATCATGAAGCATCCTCTATTTTTATGGAATGAGGATGGTTAGCATTAGGCAAGGGCTCCAATTTTTGAAGTGCAAACAAGGGAAGGCAATGGTCACAGACAAATGACTGAGATAAGAGAGATTTAAGGAAGTACATTATGAATTGACAATTTGACATTCTTAATGTTTTAGGTGTTTGTCTTTGCATAGTCCTATATACTTTTTGAGCTGAAAACATAAAAATAGTGTCGGTTAGTTGGGCTCCAGATTGTGGGAAGCAGAGCACATAGCGCGAAGCGGCAAGGCACCACTAAGGCTATTTTCGGCTTAGCGGCAATAAGCGATAAAAACGTAAAGTCAAAAAGCGGTGCAGTTTAAATATATACAATTATTCAAAAAATAAGAAAAATTCAAGAAATATCTTTAAAAATCAACAAATGCATATTTGATGATTTATAGAGATCATATGCATGTAATACATGTTAACAATCACACAATCTTAACAAAATATTGTACAAAATGAGATAGAAGAACTTCGAAGAGGTGGCGGTGCTTCGAAGAGAGGTGGATGTAGAGTTGGGGGAGACAAAGGAGCTTCTCGAGGAACAAAGAGGACCAGAAAGCATCGATGAAGAACAGAGAGGTGGAGCTTCGACGGCAGAGGACGATTAGAGGTAGTAAAGCTTTGATAACGAGGTGGTGGTAGAGCTTCGACAATCTTTGACGACGAGGCTGTGGCCACAATTGTGAGTTAGGGTTTTTTTGGGTTCGAACAGCAAGGGCGGGGAGGAAAGAGAAAGGATCGGGAAAAGAAATGAGTTTTACATTAAAAACGGGTGGAGTTCGGGTCGGGTACGAAAAGACTCATTTACTCAAGAATTTGGGTTAGGTTTGGCTCAGGTACAATACAAACCCGATAACTTGCATTTTAAATCGTTGTATAGCACTTTGAAGCGCTTTTTATACGCTATTGGCTGCTATTTTGAGCTAATAGCACTGATGCCGCTAAAAATCACCACTTTCGACCATAGCAGTGTGGGCGTAGGTTGCTACTGCTATTGCGGCTGCTATTGTACCACTATTTACAACACAGGTTGGGCAGTGGTGTTTATTTTTGAGTTGATGCAGCAAGTGCGACTTGTATTTAAACCTTTACTTGTAGTTGATTATCTTTGCATCTCTTTTCTTGTGTTGTTTATTTCTTCTTCTTTTTTTTAATGACTTGAGTTAACATGTCAAGCCAAATTACTTGGATCAAAGGCTTGCAACTGGAAGTCTGGAACCAAACATTTTAATAGGGTAGGCTCAAATACAACCCATACCCGATTAAGATCTAATGAACCTTAAAAATTTCAGGTCAGGTTGTTAGGTTCTGGCCATGCTCACCATCCCTAAAAATGAACATGATCGCTACCCGTTACTTATAATACATTTAAAGAAAGTCATTGAAGCACTTAACTTCACTGTTCATGGACTTGAATCATTGGATAGTAAAAGAAGGAATTTGTAGCTCCTCTTTAAAATATGCATCAACCATGTGCATGAATTTCTATTTCAAGCAAGTACATATATATACTTATATGCCTTAAAAGGCACCCCATGTTTTCATCTTTATCTGCATAACAAACACCATAGTGGAATCTCATCATTCTATACCTTTTGGTCTATTAAGCATCTTTCCCTGTAATTATTTTGGCTTGAAGGTTGGGATATATTAGAGGGTAATTGCAATTGAATACCTAGCAAAGATGGTGGTGGCATTCAGCATCATCTTTGTTAGAACACAAGAACGAAACAATATCACCAGGTTGAACATGGTACGCGAATAAAGTATCAAAAGGCACATAATCAAGTAACCATTATATGAACAAACATTGCATCTTACTATAACTTAACCTACATAGAGTCTAGAGTTTAAGACAATTTTCTGAATATCCTATTACTTAACCTACATAGAGTCTAGAGTTTAAGACAATTTTCTGAATATCCTATTACTTTTCCACATATCATACAAGCATCTGATACTGGTGGAAATAATTGCATCAATATAGCAATAATCATAAACAGACCTGAAGAATGAGCGTCCCAATTGTAACTTGACCATGTAAAAGATTGGTGCTATTTCTTTCCACCAAAAATTTTGAAACCTAACAACAAAAGAATAGCACAATACAGTAAAACACTAAGCATTTAAGAGGAAAAAAGTCATCAATTTCCGTAAAGTGAATTTTTACCACAGCGGTAGATGACATCGATAAGAAGCAACCAACAAAAACACCCTCAGATAATTCTGCACCACATAACTGTGTTCACCAAACAATTCATAAGTTAAAATACAGAAAATAACTCATATAAGTGCTACGACTCCACTACAAACTACAATGGAATAGACCTATAAATATAGCTATGACACACAAATATTAGGAAAGATGCATGAGTGACTAGCAACGGCATACCAAGGCAGCCACACCACACAAAAACATAAGAATGAAGATCTGGAGTAGTCCTCCAAGCACGGCAACAGGTCCAACAATTCTTAACTGCAAGATATTAAACTCAGGATGATAGCTATTACAAAATCCATAAAACCAAGAATCCCATATTTACAAACTCAAACGTGAAATTCATAGAAATAACTCTTCATTTAGAACCAACCTTTGTCAAGGAAAACTCAAGTCCCAGAGCAAAAAGAAGAAATACCACACCAAACTGAGCAACAGTCTCAACCTGGAAACAAAAACATATATTTTTACCATAACAATAACACAACATAGTCAATGCAGTATGTATGTCTATATGTATGTATATATATATATATATATATA